TTTCTAGCCTTCATATGTGTATGGAGCACACCTTTTACTTCTATTTGGGACATTCCAATTCTTCGTCCGATGCCTTGGGTTCCAGAATTCTGGAGCTGAACCACAAGCATCTGACGAAGAATGTCCCAAAGAGAAATTAAAAAATACAAATAAAAAAGCTAGAAAAACTCTTTACAATCACTTTAGACATGCATATGATTGTGATTGTTTCTCTTGGTTGACATAAATATACTTACCTTGGTTTTTACTCCGTCTGTTGTATAGAACGACGGATTGAAAGTCGTATACTTTCTCTAAATCAACACACCACCATTCTGTGTCAGAATTCTTGGTGTGAGCAAAACCAGTCAACTTTCCGTCAACACCTTTACATGCCACGTATTTATGGTTCACACTGCTCATACTAGTAGGTTTATTCAAAGCTATGTTCTTTGTAAAAGGCTCTGAAATTAAGTTAATACTTTACGTTACTACATACCCAAATTTAAAAAAAATCGACATTAATCAAGTGTCTAAAACATTTCGTACTGTGTTGCTTTTTACCTGAGGACAATTTTATAAGTTTGTTTTAATATTACCAAACTGGCCTCCGAGAAATTTCAATCGAACATTTACCAAATTGATACCCATTGTGAAAGGTCATTTCTTATATAGTTATATTTATTTATAGTCGATTTAAAATCTTTCTTAACAACCAGTTCTATTTTGAAGATTAAATTTCAATTAATATAAAAAATTATAAAGATTTTAAGGGATTGATGCGTTATACATAAAAGAATGCTTGACCGCTGGTCAATGGTGGGTCAACTTCGACAATTAATGATTGAAACAGTAATAATTTAAATTCTAGATTTATCAATCAACAATCTTTACCTTGAATAAAAATGTTGCCATACCAATATCCTTAGTAGATATAATATTCGTGGAAAACTTATTACATAAGTAACACCTGTGTCTAAATTCATGGTATGCAACACCACATCGTATCACGAATGCGGGTTTCGACATGTTGTTAATAACCCGTATTATACTAAACCCACTAGTAAATATTCCAATGTAAGGTTTTATTTCTCTCGGCTTCGACAAAAATCTTACTCAATTCTGTACCGTAGGCTACATAATCATCAAAATATGCAATGACACGCTGCTTTCCTTTTGTTTACGTTCGCAAACTAAGTGAAGTAAAGTAAAATCATTTGTATACATTCCAATGGTTTACTATCCAAAGTGTCCCACTTCACATGCATACCATATAACAGACACTACCAATGATTGAAAATGAAGACGCTAGCTCAAGATGCTTAGGTG